AAGCATAATTTTCATTGTGTTAGAATGTATGTTTTAAAACATCTTACACATTTTCTAAACCAAGGAAAAAATCCCCAATAAAAATAACATGCTAGGAATTACAACCTAAAAATGTTCTTATCTATTTTTGCTGTTTTGTTTCACAATCCTTGTGATCCTATTGGCAGTCAGTCTCCTTGGAGGTTATTATTTCAACATTTCAATGGCAGAAGACTTCCATTCATGGTGCACCAGGGAGGGTTGACTAGAGGAAATTCTCTGTAGAAGAATATTCCACTGGCATTTCAAGCTTAAAATAAAAACTACATCTTGGGGTTTGATACATATGTTATTGACAAGATCTACTGTATGATTAAAACGAACATTTGAAGACATTTTAGAGTGCTGGTTAAAAGTCCTAGGAGAAGTGGAAAACACGATTAAGAAAATACACATTTAAGAAATCACATTCTTCTTTATGTAGAATTTTAGGAGATTGTAATGTAGGTTACATTATTACTATTTCCTATAGATTCACTGTCTTCTGAACAGATATGATTATCAGGAATGGTTGGTTTGTCAAATCCAGAATTGGAGATTAGGTACTGAATGTTTACATCAATGTCAAAGATGCCCCAGGGACAATCAAGGGTAATGGTCCTCTCATCAACTCGAAGCATGGCCTCTTAAAGAGATTCTCACCTACAAATGTTAAATAAGAATGATATTCATGATCTGTAAAATTGTAGAGACATACTTTCAAGGAAGGCTCAAACATTAGACACACAGAAAGTCAACGGAGGTGCAGGGGTTTCATCAGAGTTCATTTTCATTTCAGAATTTTTAAACTTGTACCCATGAGCCCAGGACAAAAGCTGCTATTTTCGATTATGAAAAGTTTACCCTTTCATCAATAATGAAAACTTACTTTGCAATACAGAAATTAAAGACACCAGGTAATTTATAAATTTAAATACTCCTGGGTCTAAGATAACAAAAGGAGGAGTCTTTGCCTTTAAGAAGTGAGTCCTCATTCTTTCCACTGGAAATAGTCAAGCAGTATGAGCAGATGGGGCTCCCAGAGAAAGCAACAGATACACTTGAGTGAACCCAATGTTAAAGAATAGGAGCCAGGACTGCATGTGACCACTGTTAACAAATGGATGGTCAAACCGTCTAGCAACAGTTTTTTTCTGAAATGTTGACAGTGTGAAAAATTTACTTTTATTCTGTTTCAGTTGGCTTTAAGTTCAATGTTTCTTTATTATAAAAGATAAAGCAGAAAATACTTTTCAGCATGAATGAACTTTAATTGCAATTGGCTTCCTTCCAACTAAAATAATCAACACCATTAATTACTTCTTACTTTTTCATAAATGTCTACATATGTGACTGTATTTTTATACATTAATTTCTGCACCATTTGTTTTTTCCTGGTATACCCATTCATATTTTTACTTATTTTAAAGAAAACTATCAAAATGTGGTATGTTAACACCAGCACATATTTCAAGACTCTGCATTTGAATTTTAACTCTTTGCTAATATCAAAAACATCTCCAACTTTTAAAAAAATATTTTCTGCCAATCAAAATTACGTAAAGTATTACACAAGAATCAGATACAAATTTATTTTTCCTCTAAGCTATCACATACAGAATTATGGAAAATGAAAATACAAGAGATGTCACCACTCTACATTAGACTAACAAATGGGAATCTGTGTCACTGACTCTAGACGACAGTCCTGGGAGCCAGGAATAATTGTGAGTGAAGGTCATTTTTAAAATTCATGTGTCACAAAAACCAGAGGTTGGCCTGGTTGGATGGATGCTAACCTCCATTAGAGCTTAAGATCTAACCCAAGCAGAATTCAGAACTTGGGAGCCAACATGGAAAGACCCTCCTGCCCTTCTTGTTTTATAGAGAGAGACAGACAGACAGACAGACACAGAGAGAGACAGAGATAGAGAGAGAGATACAGAGAGACAGAGAGAGAGAGAGAGAGAGAGAGAGAGAAGGGGGGTGGGTACAGTGTTGAGTCTCTCTGTAGCACTGCGACTCATGGAAAAATAAGGAGCCTCTTTCTATTCCCAGCTGAACGTATTTATGTCCAGTTTGAGAATAAATTCTGCTGATAAGTTCATACATCTATAATGTGCTTCACACCTTGCTCCCGATTTTATTTTTATCTATATGTTATGATTAGAAGCTCATTTGAAATTGAGGATGTGAGGAATATATGCAAAATATTCATGTGTGTTTAAAATATATAAAATGCCTGAGGTCATTTGAGATGTACTCTAAACTGTTATGTCACATCCTAGAAGAGCATCCAAGGCTGGTGCCCTGGGGGACTCGGCCGGAGGTGCCGCCGTAGGTGCGCAGGAAGATATGGGTCGTGCTCATCTGCTTACAGAAGCCATGTGAGTCCTCATACTAACCAGACGCCAATTTCTAAAATACATCTCCTATGGAATGTTTCACTCACTGGAACATAAACATGGGAACATGCTTTTAAAACAGTATGGGTTGAAAGGCAAAAGAGATCGACTCAGCTACAGAATACAGGATTGGAGGCAACTGAGTTATATCTTTCCAAATTGGCAAAACCTGAACTCTACCTATTGATGAGTTTGCACAGAAGCAACAATTTTCTTACCCTGCTGCTTGGCATGAATCCTGTATGTATTTTGAGTAGTACTTGGCTGTGTGCTTTTATCTATTACAGACACCACAGTGACAGTGCCACACCCTTACCCTGACCTATGGGAGTTCCCAGGACCAAGAGTCCTGAGCATCTTCACACTGTTGACTGAATAGCTCAACTTCCAAAAAGGGAATAGTTAACAATACATAGAAGTATTTAGAGATAAAAAATATTCTCCTCACAAGAAAAAAAATGAGCTAAATACTCAAATATTAGGAGATGGCTCAACCGATTATCAGAAATCTTTGTAATGAAATGTTAAATTATGGTCAAAATTCTACTAAATAAACAAATGTAGTGGTACATCATATTTTATTAAATAACAAATCAGATCCAACACAGTACTTAGTTGACCCTACTTAGCATTAACACACAAACAAATATGCTGTAAGCTACAATGCACACACAGAGGTGTATCTGAATGGTGGATTGTAAATTATTTAAAATTTCCCATTTCCACCATCATTGTATCATCTTTTAAACTTTTCTATAATGTCTATGTTAAATATAGAATATAAAACTTAACTTTTTAAAGAAATAATAGTTACTGTCTCTACTTCATGAAAAAAAAATTCCACCTAATCTGCTAGTGATCCTAAAAATAAAATTTAACTGTAATTTTTGCAGTAAAACATCTTCCTCAAAAATTTCACCTCTACCCTCTACGACGCTCAACCTGTCGACATGTACAGGCACCTTCACCAACTGAGGACAGTCTACACAGCAAATTCCTATCACTAGCATGTGCCAAGGTGTCAGGAATGCAGGGCCCGGCAGGAAATGAGCCTGGGAACACTAAGAGCATACTTAAACAGACACACAGGTCAGCTTCCAGAATCAGAGTCCCTGAGTGGAAACCACGGAGGAACATGGATAGTACACAGAATTAGAACACAAACTCTAAAACCGACAGATGTCGTGGTACATCATATTTTTTTAAATAGGAGAGAAAGTCAGAGAAGAATGTATCAAACATGACTGCTTTGGGCAAAATATATCAAGAACTACCAAATATTCATAGTTCTTGAGTCAGTATTTGCATTTCTAGGAAACCATCCTACAGAAATAAAAAGCGTGCCCAAATTTATGTCCCAGAAAGTCAGGGTAATTGGTGGTATTTCTCTAATGATTCTGATATTATAAAAGAAGCATATCCATCATGATGGGCAAAAAAATAAAGGGCTTACTTTTCTGAAATTAAACAAAAAAAGTCTCCCTATTCTCAAATTCTCATGCAGTGTCCTTTTTGATCCATCTCAAGTATCTGAAGTTAAGAGATGGTACCTCTCCCTACAGCTGTTGTATAACCACACACCAACATGTGGAAGGATTTATCTTATATTAAAATAGGATTTGAAATACCCACATTACATTACGGCTTGCTTTCACTCCCCAGTATTTTCATGGATAACTTTCCAGATCAATATATTCTGGCAGCTAATACCAGCTAATGTTATAACATACTTTTTGTTAAACATTTGAGTCTTTTCTAGTTTGGAGTTATAACAAAGAATGATACAATTAATTTGTCCATGCATTTCTACCTACATGTTTTACTTTATTTCTATAAGATAAAACCCATTTCTCATTTTTAAAAAACGGACTACTGATCAAAGTCTGTCTATAATAAGAGTTTGAAATATGTTAAAGTAGATGCAATATGAATTCAGGCAGAACTCAAAATTCGGGGGAGGGGATGGAATCCTTAAAGAGTTTTCTAGTAGTGCAACTCTTAGGAAGTAAATTTAAAAGACAGGTGGGGCACTGAACAATATTCTGAATGTGCCTATGCCCAGATGGGCATGAACTAATCTCAAAAGTACAAAGGCAAATCTTTACCTGTAACAGGAGCATAAGGTTTTGTCTGAAAGAGAAGCTAGCCAGCAGTTCAATACCATTCCTATCAATGTGACAAATTCTACCACTTTCATAACAGATGTAAACATGCAATTACCATAAAATGATTCAAAGGAGCTCAAAAGAAAGATCTGCATAAAAAAGTAGAGGAGTAAATGTACATTGGAAAAAATTCTGTTTTGTTTCATCTTCATAATGCTATGCAATGTGACAAGGTTTGTGATAATTGTCACTGCGGATGCCCAGGAAACCAAAAAGGAGCCTGACAGGTGTTGGTATGCAAGTAACCAAGAGCTATATACCAATAGAAACTTCTAGGTAAGTTTCAGCAGTTCAGAAGAAAAAGGGAATTTAGAAACACACATAAAACCTGTCCACATTCTTTCTTTTTGTGTTTCTAACATTAAAGGAAATATGAGATTTACAGAGAGACCAAAACTTTTTTCTTTCTTACCTTGGAAGACCGGAAGGTAAATGCAGTCGATTTTACATCTGCCTTTTCTTTGTCCATAAGTAGAAGGCTTTTGTCTTCCATGAGACTTAAGTATTTTCCTGTCGTGACGTGGCGTAGTCGGAATGGCTGGCCCCATCTTATGTGACTCCCACTCCACCTAAGAGAGCAATCAGAACTTGGTCCAACAGCATGGCAAAAGCAGCAATTAATAGTGTGGTTCATACTATATGCACATACAAGTGTGTATGTGATTAATTAAACTGCCATCTTTATAACACACAAGGCAAAAAAAGATCCATCTATCAACTTAAAAGACCCTTTCCCTAAATTTTCTGAGTTGTAAAGTTTTATAAAAACTGAGTTTATTACATTTGCTAAAGTCTTTTTCCAGATTAAAAAAAATGTATGCCCAACAAAAATTTTACCTTTAAACTTAATATTTATCAAAAGTTTTAATATTTAGATGGATTTTGATCAACTGTATATTTATATTCAAAGAAACAATATTATCAGTTATTAATAATTAATACTAAAACAGAAAAACTTTTTAAAGTTACAAACTAATAGAAAATACATAAATGTATATACACATTTTGTTTCAAAGGCGTATCATACAGTTAGAAGGAAAAGTCTTCAAGTCACAAAAATGTACTACCTTGAGGGGGTAAAAGAAAATCGTACACTTTTTTAAATTACATTTTGTTAAATAAGATATATTCAAGTGGATGCTCATCCATAATGTGGGGCTGGGGTGGGGGCAAGGGAAGAATGGAGGAACTCTGGATTGAACAGAGGGGAGGAGATAGAGGGAGGGGGAAGATGATGGAATGAGACAGACATTACCACCCAATGTACAGGTATGTTTGCATGACTGGTATGAATGCATCATGTACAACTACAAAAATAAAAAGCTGTGCTCCATTTGTGTAAAAAATAAAATTAAAAATGAGATACAGTCAAGTATTTTTTAAACTATCAATTTTTTTAAATTTTTTTAGTTGTAGATGGACACAATACCTTTATTTTTTATTTATTTTTATGTGGTGCTGAGGATCGAATCCAGTGCCTCACACATGCTAGGCAAGTGCTCTACAACGGAGCTACAACCCCAGCCCCCCAGTCAAGTATTTTTAAATATATTAAAGTATGCATCAAATCACAATAGCATTATCAACGGGACACTTTGAAAGGAGTGGTGGTACAATTTTAAAATGTCACTACTTTAGTGCACTGGAAGTTATTTTCCATGAATCTATATAAACCAATCATGAAAAAATTCTTGTCCACCTTCCAATGTTCAAAAGATGCACAAATTTTTACAAAATTACCCTATGGGATATCTGAACAAAACCAACTGAAGACCACTCAGCTATTTTAATCATCATTACATAAGATCTAATCTCACAGAAAAAAAAAATCTGAAGGACAACAGTGCCTCATTCTCACCCATGGAGTCTGTAATCCTAAATCAGTGATTTCTTGATATTGTAATATACTTTGAAAACTTGAGTGTTTTTCAGACAAAGGACTGAGTCTTCCAATTATTAAAAAAATTCTGATATTTTAATTCTATTTAAGACAGCTTAAAACTACACCTTTATCATCAATATTGCATTTATATAAAGGAATTTAGAGGCAATCTTCAGAGAGCCTTTGAACTCCTGAGAACTTGTATATCTTTATAGATCTTATCACTACAATGAATATTTGTGACTTTTATTAAAATCCATATTTCTTGCTCAGGATTGAGCTCTCTGTAAGTAAAGACAGTGAGCACCAGATATGCCTTGTGTCCTGCCGTTCATGCTCAGTTTCCTGAGCCAGCTGTACGTGAGCCTTGACAAGGTTAAACCCAGTCCTTCAGACCTGATGCTGTGACAGGCTCACAGACAGCTTGTCCTGCCTCCAAGCCTTACATCACTCTATCCTCACAGCACATCCTTCCAGAAATGCAGGGTCCTGGGTGAGGTGATGTTACCAAGCAGATGAGGCTAATGACAGGCAGATGATACACAAGCGCAGCATGATCTCTGGTCTTCTGCCCAGAAGCAAGATAGGCAAAGCAGGTAGAGGGGAAGAGGACAGGCTCTCCACCACTGTTTCCTTTGCTGGTTCACTGGTACTGCCAACATGACCACCTCACATGGAAGCAGAGGCCAAGAGCAGTGGGTGGACTGTGCCCTTGGAGCCGGGCCTGGGTTGTAACCTCTACTTACGCAACTCTTAGCGTCTCTAGTCTCCAAAGGGACCGTGCGTGAACAGAGACAGCACCGCCTTCATAGTGAACAGTTCTGTTGAAACAAAAAAGACCAATTTTTATTTTTGACATGTTTCATTCTTGGGACTCTGTTTTTCAAGTGAATTAAAAGAGCAACACAAATGGTGTAACCTGACAGAAGACAATACAGCTGGAAATAAAAATAACCAAAATAATAAACATTGACTTAAACATATTCTCCGTCATTTTCTCCCTCTGATCTCATTTATTTTTCTTTCCTTCCATCCCCTAAAGAATAGATACACCTAACTATTCTACTGTAGGTCCATGCAAGTAACTACTGGTTAAGGTGTAGTTTAATATATCATTACTTAAATACATACCCTATAATCATGTGGAGTTCCAAATTATATTTTAGGTATTTAAACCATTTCAAAGAAATGTAACACTAATTCTTGATATTTTAATATTGCAATTTACATCAAATCTACTATCTATATTGAAACATAAATATCAACAAGAGTGTCATGAAAAAGGAGATGTATATTACATGCCCCAAATTCTAAAACTCTCACAATATGATTGCTACATATGATGCTAAGTTATATACATTATCCAAATTTATCTCTGCACCAATGCTTTGAGACTACTGTAACTCATGAAGTATGAAATTTTTAATTCTGCAAATATTTCAATGAAGTCAATGTGGGGTACATTTAAATAGGTGGGCTCTATGACACAAAAGCTGCTATTAATGTAGAAAATAAAAAGAGAAGATTATAAGAGCCACTACCTAATGGACAGATTAATCCATTTGATAAAATAATAATTTAAATGAATTCCTGAGTGGCAGCTACAGGCAGGTGGGGCATGGCTAGAGGAAGTAGGTCACCAGGGACATGTTTTGGGGATTATATATTTTTTTCCTGGCTCCTCTCATCTTTCTCTGCCTCCTGGAAACCATAAGGTAAAAACGGTCTTTCCTCCACCATGCCCTCCTGCCATGACCCCCAATCACATGTCCATCCCACAATGCAAAATGCATTTGGTTCATCTTTAAGAGTCCTGATAATAACAATTCCAGCACTGACCAAAAGTTCAAGTCCAAATGTCCTCTGAGATTCAAGTCAAACTGTTGGCTATAAGACACTGTAAAGATCAAAAGCAACTTATACACATCCAGCATTGAATGACAGTAAATATATCCATTCCAAAAAGCAGAAGTAGGGGCATTAAAAAAAAAAGGATGAAATCAAAGCAAGGCCAAAATCCAACTAGGCCAACACACTCTGTAGCTTCACACCTGGCATGTGGAACACATGGCAGTGACATGAGCTCTCCAAAGGGCTTGGGCAGCCCTAGGGTCTTGCTGGTTACAGCCTACACAGCCATCCGCTTAGCTGGCTCTGTCCAGAGCCAGCAGCTTTACTCAGCAGATGTTCCACATCATTAGCATCTCACGGGTCCTCACTGCAGCCATGGCTTCCTTACAACTTCACAAATAGCCTCTCAGGTCTGCCAGGAGTGGTACCCACCCTGCTCCACTGTATTGGACTTCCTAGGCCTCCCTTTCAACTCCCAGTGGAAGCACCCATAACCCCTTAACTCCAGTATCCTGCACCACTACCAAACCACATGGATGACACCAGGTCTGTGGGCAGCTTCACCAGTAGCCAAGCCCCTTGGACCATGACTACAAGGACTTCTCAAAGCTTGGGAAGCTGACTATGGTTAAAGTAATACCGGGGAAACCATTTTCTATGCACCCCAGTCTGAGCAGGGTGTTCCCAAGGTCTCTTCACGGAGTTCACTTGTGCACCCTGGAGCCTGCCATGGGTGTGGTCTTCCTGATTTATGAGATGCCCTCAAGGCATCTGAACCAAGTATTTCTCTTCCATGGCAGCAACCTGTTGGTTTATTTGGTTCTCTATTTAGTCTCTTCAGGCAACTATTTCTTCAGTTTCATTATTTATTCTTTAATAAGGGATTAAAGGCTAAAATTTTTCATTTGACACATGAGTCACAGATTTTCTGTGGCGTGTTGTCTTCATTATATTTTAGACAGGGCATAACTTCTGACTCATGAATTATCTAGAAGAGCTTCTTAATTTTCCAAGTGGTTATTTTTTGTCATCTTTTCACTATTTGCTTACAAATTTTATGGTTTATGATTAACAAATGTAATGAGCAAGAATCTTCTCTTTTCAAAAAAAAAAAAAGAAAGAAAACTCTGTAAAGTGTTCTTTATGGTTGTCATGTACAAGACCTTTACTAAAGGTCAGATTTGTTTTCAAAATATGTATACATAAAATATGAAATAACGTTATTTTATATGAGAGCTCCAGATTTTTCAACCATGGCGCTCTCGCGTTCTCTCTCTCTCTCTCTCTCTCTCATATATATATATATATATATATATGAGATCACCTGGACAACTTTTAAAACCGCTGTGCCAATTCCTTACCAACTAAACAGATCTTTTAAAAGATGAGAACCTTTTAAAACTCTCCAGATGGCGTAATGGAAAGAGAAGGCCTGAATACCATAGTCCAGGTAGCTTCTGTACCACACACAGCTGTCTGGGAGAAGGGCAACTAATTACAAGAAGAGCTATCTGAAGAGAATAAACAGGGAACCAAATAAACCAACAGAAATTAGAATGAAGGAGGGATTCTACCATACTGTGAAGACAATAAGATGGAGAGCAAAAGATGTGGCTTCCTGCACAACCCTAAGTCCTTAAAACTATCACGTATCACAATATTACTTCCAGGTGAGCAGAGAGGGGGAGCTGAATGAGAAACATCAAAATAGTACATACAGTAGGATGTAGAGGAATTAAGATTGAAAAAGAGTCTCTGAGATACATTTATTAATGTTTATTAACATTATATGTTTATGCATAATGAAGCAAATGAAGAATTAGCATTTGAATATTTTCCCACTTATAATTTTTAACAATGGACTCTTCTAACTAGAGTAGAAATCCAATGGTATTTTAATTAAAAATTTAAAATACAACCAATAAAAAGCCAAAAGGAAAAGTTGAATCCTTCTTCCTACCTAAAATACTTTTAACTTTATCCTGAAAGTCATTATGATTTAAATTATTTTTTTATTTTTAGAAAATGTTTCATCAGTAGATGTGGATAATTTGTTTTTTATTTACTTTGATTTTTTTTAATACTGGAAATTTAACCAAAAAACACTTTACCACTGAGCTACATCCCCAACCCTTTTTATTATGAGCCAAGGTCTTGCTAAGTTGCTTAGAGCCTCAATGAGTTGCAGAGACTGGTCTCAAAATTTGCAACTGTCCTGCCTCAGCCTCCTTAGTAGTGGGGATTATAGGTGTGCACCACTGCACCCAGTTGAAGAGCAAATCCTATGACTTCCTCAATGATATGGTGGAGCAGAATGCCAATGGTTGTCTAATCATATCTTCAAGGGCTATTTGACATTACAATATCAAAATCCTCAATGTAACAGGAATCTCAGTCTACCACATATGACACTAAATATATTCCAACTTATTTAAAAACTGGTCTATCTGGTGAAACACATCTGTTCTATGAAAGGGATCAACCCTTTTTTCCTACATCAAATATCAAATCAGAGTCCAAGAAGACAACTTACAACCAACAAGCTTAGGTATTACCATCTCTAAATTCAGACAACTAAACAGTCACCTTTATAGTAGAGTGATCCCCTTTCAGACAGGAAAGCTCAGACAAAATAAAGAAGAATGTTTAAAAAGGTAAACAAACCAATAAGCAACTTTACCCTTGGAGCTGATGATCAAGGATTTCAATGCAAATGGTGGCAATGATGCCAAGAGTTGAGCGAAAGCCAGTAGATACTAAAACATAAAATTGCTCATGTACCGTCTTTTCACTGAAGAGTATTTTTGCAATGTATCAAAACACTGTCAAAGCTACTGACAAAAAGAAAGTATGTGAAAATAACTAGACACCGACATCATTTCTAATCAAAAATTTTTAAAGAAACTTCCACCTCATGAATAAGAATTAAGAGTCACCAGTCATCCAATAGGAATGTTTTTTAAATATGTAGATATAATCACCAGTCCTATGAGCTCATTCAACAGTTCTTTGAAAAATTCCAGGTGTCAGACTGTAAGTTATGCTACCATAACCCATTTTCCTCCAATGTAACACATTTCATTAAAAAACTCATATTTCAAGCTGACCACATAAAACTGCCTGAAGAGGCTCTTTAAGGTTATTCTGTTATATGTACAAATTCTTTCTATTAGAACATCAATTCATCTTCTCATAGTTATTATAATACTGTCCACTGAAATAAAAGTAGTTATCTATTTTTTGTGTGCTTGGCAATAAAACACAATTTGTCTTATGTTAATTGTCAGATCACTTGTTTTAGAAGTAAAAAGCAGGCATTTTGACAGCTACAATAGTTAATCTTCAGGATCTGAAGCCTAGGAAAGACTACATTAGCATAGTAATTAAAGTACAAATCCCTACAAGCTTTTCATCACCTGACAATATGGTATTTATTTACAATAAAATTTTATAGGACATACAATTCCAATTAGTGGGCTTTAGTACAGAATCATAAAACATGTTATTAGTAAGAGACCCCTCTGTCTTATAAGAGCAAGCTTTGCCAGAGGGCATTCTTGCTGGATGGCATCACAGTTATGAGCTCACTTGACTTTTTTTTTTTTCAGGGAATCAAAAAGTTGACAAGTCACTTTCACATTTCATTACTTTCTGAAGATATCACTTCACTGTGTGAACCTGAGCAAGCCGCTGGACTCTGTCTTGTTTTCTCCAAATATGAAATGAACTCTTACCAGTAACTCTTACCTCATTCTATGAGGAAGAACCGAATGACAAAACCCATGGGGACCTGTCAGTCTGTACACAGCAACAAGTGCTAGCTCTGAGGACAGAGATGACAGTGTTAATGAGGTGATGACATTCCATGCTCCCTACAGGGAGTTCAGGACTTAGGGACGTTTCTGCTTGAATTGAACCATTTAAAACCAGTAACATTATGGACATGTTGGTGCACACAGGTGCAGTGCGG